GGGATCGGTTAGAGTGAAATAGAACCGGCCTCCTCCCTGTAATCAATCCCAGACCACACCGTATCTCGTGAACTCGACAACCCCCAACATCACTCCAACGACCGAGTTGGCTGCTGTCCATAATATCTGCGAGGCAGGGCATGGGAACGGGTACCTCTCCCTCCCCGCCTGGAATTTAACACAAGGTCACCTATTATACGGGCAGAGGTATCTATTCCCGTGCCGACCGCCTGTTGGAACGGTAGCAACAGAGCCAAGTCCCAATACTAACATCCCATGTTAACGCGCATTCCTGGGCCCTGAGTTCTGTAAGTATTGGAATTTGCCGTACGTCTTTATGATTACATTCCGTGTCACAATAAAGTTACAGTGCCTCTTTTTTCTGTAGCTTTATGGCGTACGCTGACATCACGCAAATGATTGAGGTGAGCCTAGGTTCAAATTCATCATTTTCGGGATAACTGGCCAAACGTCAACTGAACCACCGTAGCTCGAGAGAATGAATACAGCGGGCATAACGTCGATTACCAACTGAGGACGTCTGTCCAACGAAAGCGAATAGCGGCCATGTAAACGTGGATTTCTGGGGGGGGCGGAGGTGTGTTTATGCTCAGCTTTTGCCGGAGGACCATCGTGGAATCAGACCTAAGAGGGCTTCCGTGCCAGTCGATTTCCACTCACCGAACGGACTACTTCCATGCTTTAAATGAGGGTTCTGCTACACAGGAAGAAATTATACTTTCAGGAATCATTCAGCATGCCAACTCGTCCACAGGACGTGAGCAGGGTCTTCGAGCGCGGAGGGCAGAGTAGAGTATTGGTTGAAAAAAAACTAAATGAAGCTATTGGGAGCCCTCCTCCCATGTGTCAAGGTCACGCCATCAGCAGTGCTTAAGATATTCAGTCTATACTAAAATAAGACAGAGATAAAAAAGATGACAGTGAAAATGCATTCCCGTCAGGAATATGAACATGTCAGAGAAAGGACAACTGGAGGTGGTGCTGTGAGAGTTACCGACAAAGATAAGGGAGACTAATCGAGCCTTTCGTGACTTGTTTGCTATTTATAATTCGACCGCCGCGAGCTTCGAGGTGGGCGCAGGCGCGGCATGCGCAAGAAAGTGCCTGTGCGGAGGAAAACTTGCGTTGGCACTACTTCACTTGTTTTTCCCACACCCGCCGCGTTCCGGCCGCAGGGAGAAGTCAGGACGAGCGGAGATTTGCGTGGGTGGAGTGTCTGGCAAAGCTAAGCAACCAGTTGAAGCGTGCCACATACACGCACACCGCCCAATCTCAACCTACACACGTACGAGGTATAATTCGGAAGATGGCTCGGATCTAGCCTCAGTGGAATTACCACAAATGTCCGATCGGTTAGAACCGATTTGCTTCGTCATTTGGCAATCATCCAAGTCAGGAATTTTAACTCTTCTGGATGGTTTGTCAGCGAGTATTGTTGTTTCCGACTAAGAAACAAAAGCGCTGTGGCTAAGGTGGCCGTTGCACTTCTAAAACTTCTGAATCCCCACTCGTGTTCGAACTGTACTGCCACATTTTAAGACGTAGGCTTTGTCATCTGTTGTCCTCAAGAAACTGCCATGGCAAAATCTCTGCTGTCTACTATAAGCTTTTAAGACGCCGAAAGGAACTCCTCTATAAATTAGGCTTGCGTGACGGGCTGAAGAAAGGTATCGACCTGGTAAAAAACGAAATTGCCAGCGTACACGCCCCGTTTATTAGCCCTGTTTTTTTTCCTGTCCTACCTCATCCAATTCGTCCTGCTTTTCTATGGATATCAACAAAAATAGTACATGCCTCCCTGGACAACGAAACACGCCGGGATATGTTGAAAAAACCTAAACGCATTAAATCAGAATGTTTTCTTTGCTAGCAAGTGACTTTTTGCCAGCCACAGACGTCTTCCATCCTGCGACGCTGGTTGTAAAGGAGAGACCTCTCGATAAGACCGGCTGTTCGGTAGGTTCTGCATCCAATGCAGTAGTTCATTTTCTCCTAAAATCCCGTTCCTCTTAACTAGTGCCCGTCCCAACTCGTCCTGCAAATCTGTCTTTTAGGAAGTCTAATGTGCCTAATACTTGGTGTACTGTCAAAATCACTTCCGTCCATTAAAAAAAGGTAATAATTTTGATCCTGGATTCTTCTGTCATATTTCTCCCTCACCCATTCTTTTGGAGTCCACTTAACGAGTCGCCCTGAACACTATCAGACCATTCTCTCCAGCCTTCCCGGACCACCTACGGTTTCCATATAAAGCCAGACGCAGTACCCTAGACGTCGTCGCATTTGCGGCTTATTCGACTCTGTGAAACCTAGACGAGGGCTGTCATGAATCCCTTGACTACTCCTCTGTCTTCACGCCACTCCCTCCTTCTCAAAACATGCCAGTGCAGCTCTCTCGACCGTATGGTTTTTTGGCTTGCAGAACAGTCTCCTTTCCATACTCCGTTTTTTCAGTCAGGCAACCATAACTCCATTCTTCCTCCTAATGGCTGTAGACGACTCCAACGTCCCACTTTATACCCTCCCCATCCACTTCCTTTTTCACTTGTGTTCATACTATACCACAGCGTTTTAAAATGTATTCGTCGCACTCTGCCGTCCACACGGAACTGCCAGGGTTGGAGCTAGCCGAATTTACCCGCTCTACTTCAGGCTTACAAGGCGTCAAAAGGAACTCCTCTTTCAAATTTGGCTGGCGTGGCGGTCTGAAAACAATTACCAACCTTGTAAAAACAAAATTCTCAGGCTAAACGCCTTGTCAATTAGCCACCATTTCTTCCTCTTCCTCTATGAATATCAAAAAGAATAGTAGACGCCTCACCGGTCAGCGATCCACGTCAGACTATGTTGACAAAAACTCTAACTCATTAAATCAGAATGTTTTCCTTGTTGCCAAGTGATTTCTCGCCAGTACCCAGCGTCTTCTGGCCTGCGTCAATGGTTGTAGTTGAGAAACCTCTCAGTGAAGAGTGTGCTTCAGTATCTGCTGGGTGTGATGCTGTCTCTCTTTTGCTCTACTCAGCTATCGCCCGTTTCAATTCCTCCTGTTACCCTGTCGCCTAAAGACGCTAATGTGCCTGGTGCTTGGCGTACTGTAATTTTGATACGAAATTCTTCCACCCACTTGCTTGCTCATCTGCTCTTCTGGAATTCACTTACGGAGTCACCCTAGACGCTGTCATGCCATTCCTCGCAGCTCTCCTGAACCGCCTACAATTTCCATATAAAGCCAGACGCAGCACCCTAAACGTCGTTGCTTCAAAGCATGTCTGTGCTGCTCTTCCGGCTGTATGGTCTCGTGGCTTGCAGACCAGTCCTCTTCCCGTAATCCGTTTGTCTGTCAAGAGCAAATTAATTCTTCCTCCTTATAACGGCAGGTCACTTCAAGGTTCCATCTTATATCCCCCCGCCATCCACCCACTTTTTTTCTGTTTCACACTAGTGATCTGAAGTCGTCCAACGACTGCCCGTGTGTTAAGTGGACTCATTATGCTGTTGTTGGTCACCCTGTCGAAAAAGAGGTTGCCTCCAACTTCCTGAGAGAAGCTTCAGTCATGGCCATCAGAAAATGATCTAGCGCCTAACAGCCAAGAGTCCAATGTTAGGGGGCGCTCACCGATCGTGGATACGGAAGTCACTCGTTCCGTTGTGCCTTAAGGGCTCTCTCTCGAGCCCAACCAGCAGCCGCGCAGCGGCGCATGATATATAGGCAGAATGACATTACCGACAAAGACAAGGGAGACTGGAATGGCCATTTCTGGCTTATTAGCCGTCGTCAGCCAGCCATACCCAAGCCCGAAGTGTGGAACACCCGAGCCTAATAAGCCAGAAATGGCCATTCCAGTCTCCCTTGTCTTTGTCGGTAATATCATTCAGCCAAGAGTCCGTTCACTCTGTTCTTTGGACTGTGATTAGGCGTGACTCCCGTCATATCCCCTGCCGTAAGTCGGTGTACAGATGATCAGCCTTTCCTTCTCATTTAGATAAGATTGGCGCGAAGAAGTTCTCCATTCCCCTGCGGGGAGTGCGTAGGCACAGACGATGGTAGGAAATTCGTTCCCTCAGAATGGCTGGCGTAAGGCTAGTAGACGACTGTTGATGTTATTCGACAAACAGAGAAGTCATTCAACGATGTCCTTGACGGCAAAGGCGAATCCAACACCCTGTCTCCCCGTCTTTGAACGTCTGTTCAAGAAGGTGCAACTGACATTCGCTTCCTCCGGTTTTCCCTGTTCAGAGAGTCTGATCTTGTTGAGATCTGCGAGGTTCACCATTTACCTTGCCAGTTTTGTTTTAATTTCTGGCCGGCTACCTGTTGGATTGTCTGAGAGGGCCGGCGTTCCAGTCTGCCAGGGTGAGAAAACGGGAGGAGTCAGAGTGATGAGGACGGGGCTAACTGTTTCGTATATGTGTGAAAATCCCCATCACTATTTTCAGAAGAGAGAGTGGCGAGTGAACGTTCCTTTCGGTAACTTCTCATCAGGTCACTACAGTTACATAGGGCGGGGTACAGTGAGTGAAACAAAAATCGATAAAAGTTAGGTTTTAAATTACAGGCTCGGCAAGAGCGGAAGGGCGCCGAAAGTTGTATGTGGTTAGTCAACCTTTGACCACGGTAAGCGCGGAGCCTGAACAAGGTTCTTTTGGGCGAATAGGGTCGGTTTTCGTAACCTTATGGCGGCCGCTTCTGCTGTTGCTAACAGGCGCTGGCCCAGTAGCTTAGGGTAGCTCGAGGGGACCTTGTAAATCACACGAAATGCTTCGGTGGGGTCCACACGATGCCCTGAGTCCACTGCATGCGCAAGGATGGCGCTGTCTATTCTCCTAGTTTCACCCTTTGCCAGCCATGCGGGAAGGTGCTCTCGTATTCTTTTGGAAAGGCGCCGACTCGTACGACCAATATAACCTGCTCCACAGGAGCAAGTGAATGAGTAGATGCACATTGAGGCGGTCTGAGGTGGCAGCCTATCCTTGCCCTCTCAGCGTAGAATAGGGTTAGTGGAGAATGATATGCGAACCCTTGCTGCTGGGAAGGTTCCCGAGACAGCTTGGTCAAGGCGTCTTCTTAGGAGTTCACCTGCAGCGTCTCCTTGGAAGGGGACTTTGAGGAACAACGTTTTCTTTTCGGCGGTTAGTGTGGTGGGTTTTGCAGGTCGTTCGGCAAGGTTCTTTGCAATGAACCTGTCAGGGTACCCATTTTCGCGAAGCAAGTCCTGGATTTTTCTAAGTTCCTCCTCGATACTATCTGTCGAACAAATTTTTCTAGCCCTTTGAGCCAAACACCTGACTAGATTCCGTTTTTGTTGGAGAGGTACGAAACTAGCGAAGTTCGTGTATTGTCCAGACCAGGTTTTCTTTCGATAGACACTCCTTCGGATGCTACCGTCAGATCTCCTGTTTAGAAGGACATCTAAGAAAGGAAGCGAACCAGCCGACTCCATCTCCAACGTGAATTTGATCGACGGATGTGCCTGATTTGCAGCATTTAGGAGGGCAGCGACGTCGGTTTCTGTGGTTACAATCGCAAAGATGTCATCAACGTAGCGACCATAATGTTTAAGCTTTTTGATCTGATCGCTTAGTTGAAATCTCTCCAGCTTGCCCATGAAGACGTCGGTTAAGAGAGGTCCAAGAGGCGAGCCCATGGCAACGCCGTCTATTTGTCTATAGAGTTGGTTGTCAAAAAGGAACTGCACATTTAATGTGCATCTTAGTAATAGTTCCTTGAGTGTTTTTGTCGGCAGTCCTATTTCTTGATGACTGGCAGGTAGAAAATCACAGATGTAGTCAACTGTCTCAGTGACTGGGACGTTTGTAAAAAGGGATGCGACGTCTAGTGAGAACATCATCATGCCGTCAAGGTTGAGGTCTTTAATGTCGTCAATGAATTGAAAGGTATCTCGATAGCTGCGTGGTGCCAGCTGATGTTGTATGGGCTTGAGCTTCTCTGCTTACCACTTAGCTATCGCATGATACGGAGAGTTCCGCATATCTAAAATCGGGCGAACCGGTCATCTTATATTGTTTAGGCCGTTTATTTTTAGTCTACAGGCCAAGACCAGCTTGTAGTCGGCGTTATTAAATAGCATTTACTCAGGTTTGAAAATTTCTGAATTATGGAGTTGTAAGTTGAGGAAGTGAAAATGTTAACTGAATTAGGTTTGTTGCCCTGGCGACGAGTACGCTGACCTGACGGCAACCACGACAGCCGCGAAGGGGGCGCAAGCCATGCAAGTCCACCAATCAGAGGGACCAAGACCAGCCAACAGCAAACAGGCTAGCTAAAGTACGTGCGTTAAGGTCTTTGAGAAAGATAACACAACTTATTTGTCAATTTTTGACTTTGGTTCCCCAAGTCGTCCTCAGACGCGAATAAAGTATGCACAGCAGTTAAAATTTAAAAATGCCCAAAAATCGATATTGCCCTGTCATTCCTGCCAGTCAGCCTTTTCTGTGGGCTGGCAGCATGTTGTGATTGGCTAACGCCTTTTCCACTGTTTCTTAAGGTTGCTGTACACAGCATTCAATTCTATGTGTCGATTGATGCATGAGTTATCAGAATTAATGACCTCTAAAAATTCGCGGCCAATGGATCTGTGCCGAGACTTGACAGCTTTTAGGGTCAGTCCCGCACTAATCGTATGATGCAAATTCTACCAACATGCAGTACTGCTATAGGTATAATTTTATATGACAAGTGTTTTTACTTTAGTCCCGACTTATGTTCTGGCTAAAAGCCCTGACGCGTACTTTGCCACTGTTTATGCTGCTGCATGACGCAACTGTGACGGATTCGGCTCCTCATTGTGTCGCCCAGGGTTCACTATGTGGTTTCTGGTAGTTGAATTCCAGTGTCATATTAAGCTCATAATTTCAAAAATTACTCAATGAATGACATGTAGCTAAGCGCTCGAGACGTGAGCATTTTTAGATTCAGCCCCGAACTCTCAATGAATATTTGAGTCGAAGGCAATAAACTATAGTAGTTATGCCAGAAGCCCAGTATAAACATCTGTCATGTGAAATTATGCGGAGTTCCCGGACGTACCAATCTGATGGTGTCCCGCCTTCTCTTCTTGTCCCATCCTCCTCCTCCTCCTCCTCCTCCTCCTCCTCCTCGCCATCACCATCACCATCACCACCACCACCATCAGCACCACCACCATCACCACCACCACCACCACCACCACCACCATCATCATCAAAAGCACCACACTGCCGTACTTGCAGCCCTCGGCTACGCTGTGCAGTAGCCAAAACCTCCCACCACCATCATTCACAGTATCGTCGTCCTCATCAGCTACGGGGCTGGAGTTAGCTACGTCTAGGAGGATTTTGCTAAGCGCCCTCCAACCGAACAGTCGAATTTGCCCGATGACGCTCCACAACCGCATGACGGGCTTTCACGTCGCACACCAGTCAGGCCTACTGCTGTGGACTGGGTAAAGCGCCTGTTCGTCTGAATACCTCAGCAAGCAGCGTGATGACGGGAGAACTGTCAACTGGGACGGCAGTTTACTATGTCTGTGACTGTCTGCGCAACACGCACTGCCATGATTCATTAATAAGCAAGGCCAAACTCGCGTATTTACGAGGAGACTCTTGCTTCTCTGGGAATAAAGTTGTCTCAGATGCGAAGCTGTCTCAAATTCTAGAAAAGTATTAGAACAGTCGTCGCCAGTGTTTTGGTTAGGTCATTACCAATTCTAGTATACTTGGAAAGTCAGTCTGGCAAACACGTGTTTTCGGCAAATTATCATCAGGCCAATACACTGGCATTGAAATTGAAAATATGAGACATTCACAGGGTTTATAAGTGACTCAGGGACTATTAACACTCATCGTTCCCACTCTAGCCTCATGACGAGGTCAGCAAGGGGGGGGGAGGAGGGGAAGGATGACATTGCCTGTCCGGTACGTGGAGCACACATCACTGCCATCAGGAGGTTGGGGCAACGTGTAATGACCATCTGGCCACGGAAGACAGGGCGCCTGTGTCAACGTCTTCGGGCAACATAGCACTGGATTCGCTTCGGCTGTAGCTAGTGTCCGTTGGCGTAGGCATCGGAGAAGCTTGCTGGTGTGCGGTAGACAACCTGAAAGGTTTCTTTAGCATCGGCTCGGTGATTCGTATCGACAAGATGTGCAAGAATTGAACTTGAAATCGAGTTGGTTTCAGCTCTGCGTAGCTAAGCTGGTATGTGTTCACGTACTCTCTTTTTCAAGCGTCTCGTTGTACGACCAATGTATCCCGCTCCACGGGAGCAAATGAATGAGTAGATACACATCGATATGGCCTGCAACGGGAGTCGGCCTTTACCCCCCCAGGCGTAGGAGGGGGGGATTTCGTGAAACATACTCATAAATTCGCCTCGGGGAAAGTGCTAGTGATCGCTGTTTTCAGACGTCGTCCGCTCACGGTTACCTTATATGTGCTAAACTCAAGGCTAAAATAGTGATAAAAATCCTCACTGATGATCAACCCGAATAAATTCAAAAATCCTGGCGAGAGGAATAAAAGATCAGTTGCGCGATCTTGCGCCAAATTCCAAGGGTTTGGACTTGAGGTTATGAGGGTTGGTGTTAGGATGCGTGTAGTGAGGGTTGGGTTATCGTGCTGCATAAAACAAGGATATTTCAGACACGCCAGGATACTGGCTTTTGAATGTGTTTCTTTTCATCTACCTGTACTCCATTATGAAATTTACCCATCGATTTCTATGCTCGCATAAATTCAAACATGACTTGGAGAAAATATACACGAAATATCTTTTTTGTACTCATTTTATAGCAATACACCTCTTCTTTCAAATTTATACTCGAGAAAAGGGTCTTTCGGTCCTAAAAATTTTTTCAACTCCCTAATCATGTTAAATCCAACGTGCAGCTACAGTTACGCTTGTGTTTCGAAATTCCATTCCTGAATTTAGGCCAACATCTAGTAAGATCGGTTATTGGCTATATATTTACCGATACCCGACTACTAATTAGTAGAAGGGGCCACATTTCGCATCATGTCCGACGTAATTTCTGAGGGCAGTGCAATATACCCCTTGTAATGCAAGTTGTACCGAATTGTGCTACGTAACCTCTGATTATACACACTACACAACGCTGAATCTTGACGGTTTTCATTGCTGTAATTGCATGACGCTGACAAAGGTGGTTTAACCCTACGTTCTGATAAGATTATCTTATCACCAGCAGCATATTTAAATACCTTAGCAGGTACTCCGTCGGGGTAGGGCACTCGAATATGAAATCCGTACAAGAAGCGGCCATCTGCTTAAATCCATGAGGGTTGAGTTTAGTGTTAGGGTTATGCAGGGTTAAGGGTAGGAGGATTAGTGTTAGGATCAGGCTTAGCAGTAGAATTAGGGTTATGGGGGATAGTGCTGATCTGCCACAGGTTCATTCAAATCGGCAGCCCCCGCATTGATCGCAGCTGTGGTGCAGTGACTGCTCGATCGTCTGCACTCGATCTGTTTGTGGTAGCGATTTCGACAATACCCTATTTCGTAGTTATACCAGTTAGGGTTTAGGGTTAGGGGGTAGGGCTATGGGTTTGGGTTAGGGGTCAGGGTTAAGGGTTACGGATTAGGAGTTAAGGTTAGGGGTTGAGGTTTGGGGTTAGGAGTTAGGATTGGGGTTTAGGGGTTAGGCTGGGGTTTGTCTACTGCAGGTACGGCTACGAAATAAGGTCCGACCACGATTTCACTACTAGTTTTCGCAACTGAGGTAATAATCAGCAGCCAGTAGGCTCACCAGAAGGAGGGTTGCCGATCGAATGACGCATGATGAGAACACAAAAACGGTCTTAGTCCGTAGAAGGTCCTCTCTTCCGGCTATCAGAGGCCTATGGAGTTTATTTCAGCGTCGCCAAATTTTGACTGCTGACGCCAAAGTTGTTTTGTGAAAATAGCATACTTCATATTGACCCAGCTGTAGAAAACTAGGCGTCTCTGTGGGATTCGAACCAACGACTGCAAGGTACAGCCAGCGCTCTAGCCACCTGAGATAGGAGGCCCCACCGGGAGACGTGAGTTTAATCCTATTTGGGTAAATATGGTGGATTCTAAGTGGATTACTTAGGAAATCCTACTTGGGCGGTCAGTTCACTGTATCAGATTTGGTGGATTCCAGGCGTCGCGTTGTAGGGGGCATAAATATAACTTGATATGACGTACATACACAAGACACAATTCGTCTCTTTTAATTAGAATATTTCTCTTAGGACGGATAAATGTGGGTCAGACTGCGTGGAGAATCCGTTTATCGATGCATCGTGGCCGCTGTTGATTCATTTTTAGAAGCTTTGTCTCCTCAAAAAGCAAAGACATTGTATCGGGCTAGTTCAGAACCGACTGTAATATCAAATCTTCTCGTAAAAGACCACCATACCCCAAAAGGAGATAGACTAGATTACAATGTCCACCGAGGACTGCAGAGAAACAAGCAAATACAGAGTCCGCGACTTCATCAAAATAAATATAATCGAGTGGCCTAGATTGTGAAAACAGCCCCATCACATGACAGCAATTCCCATCACTTTAATTTGCACGACTACTTGTTTTCAAGTTACTTTCTTCCAGTTGTTTTTCCAGCATGGTTTAGACGGACGCTTTGTTGATTAGACTGTGTTTTGAACAATGCCAGTGCCGTTTTCCTACGGATTTTCTTGTCTGACACAGGAATGGCTTGGCGCTAGATTGCAGGGAGCTTTCTATTCCCATGTCCTACATTTGACCCTAACTATAACACCCATCCTAACAGTAACACTAACCCTCCTAGATCTAGCTCCAACCCTAGCGCTAACACTCGCCCTTGTAAACCCGACCGTAACCCAGACCTACTAACCCTAACACTAACCGTAACCCTAAAATGAACTTGAAGAAGAAGACATGATCGCTGGGACAACAGTTTTATTAGCCGGACGTTTCGGATTCCTGCTCGAACCCATCATCAGGGGCTGATGATTGGTTTTACAACCCTACTTAATTAATCTTTTCGAAAGTAAAACGCATTTCGGAATTTCTGTTGACATTTCATGAGTTAACCCACCTACTGTAGATATGCGGTAGCATGGCGACTCCATCCTCTAAATACTGCAGCCCTTATGCATGAACCACCCGTATCTGCTTTTGTCTCTGATGATGGGTTCGAACAGGAATCCGAAACGTCAAGCTAATAAAGCTGTTGTCCCATCGATCGTGTATCCTTCTTCAAGACTGCTTTCTGGGACTCATCTCTTCGCTCCTAAAACGAACATTTACCCCAACTCTAACCCCCCTTGGAATTTAGGACAACGCCGCCTGTCGTACGGAGACGTCCATGTTTTGTGTCCATTCCGCCGGACTCCTGTTATTAGGCGACAGAATGCTTAAATTTTGTTAGTATTATGATTCCTACTAAATGGGTCTGCATTAAATTAGGAATCTGGATAATTTGGTTTTTGCCTCCTTTGTGTTCCTACTACCTTAAGGAGCTAATATGTCCAGCGCCCTCTCATTTGCCCTTAGTTTTTTTGTCATTATTTTTCCGTCGAGGCTAGTGTTGAGGACGCTTGCTTGCGTGTTTATCTAGCTTGCTCATATGTAAGGGATACGCTAGTTATGTATTCTCCTAGTTATGCTGTGCTGAGAAAGTTGAAGTCTAGAGTTTTGTCGAGAACTTCACCAACCGTCTGTCCTGTAACTACTGTAGGTCGGACCCAGGGGTGTGAACTCCCCCATACGACAGGCTGCTCTGCGCTAAATTCCAAGTGGCGACTATTCCCGTGTCGCAGCTTTAACCCTTACTCTTTAAGCCACAACCCCCTGACACCATCCCTCATAAACCGAGCTCTGACTCTCATAACGCTAACTCTTATCCTAGCCGCAACCCTAACCTTGAAGAAGGAGGCACGATCGCTGGGACAAGAGCTTTTTCAGCCTGAAGTTTCGGATTCCTGCTCGAACTCATCATCAGAGACAACAGCAGATACGGGTGGTTCATGCACAAGGGGCTGCAGTATTTATAGAATGCCGCATACCTATGAATATTCACGGCTCCCCCCTCCATCAGGGATCGTTGGACTTGGTTTGATGGCTGTTTGATGGCCGACATTTGCGTCGTTAATTGTTGCAATCTCATCGTGTGCGTTGAATGTTGGTGTGATGATTGCTCGACCTTCTGACGCACCCACCCTGGTGTCGGGAAAAGTGTTCACTTGTGCGCTCCCCGCGTAACTAATTACTCCGCCTAGGCGAAGTCTGAGCATCGAGTATGTAATGGGTCTTGTTAATGGACTGGGGGCCAGTAAACCATGACTGAAGCAGCTCCCGACTCACGCGGTTGTCATCTCTTGCGAGAATTTCGGCCTCGTCATATCTGAATGTGTGACCGGTTTAGATGAATTATTTGTTGATCAGACTGTGGTTTGAACAATGACAGTGCCTTTCCTGTCCGACACAGGAGTGGCTTGGCGCTAGATTCCAGGGAGCTTCCTATTCCCAGTTGACCCTAACTAGAACACCCATCCTAACAGTAACACCAACACTCCTAGATCTAGCTCCGGTCCTAGCGCTAACACCCACCATTGCAAACCCGACCGTAACTCAGACCTACTAACACTAACACTAACCGTAACCCTAAAACGAACGCTTGCCCCAACACTAACCCCCCTTGGAATTTAGGGAAAGGCTGCCTGTAATACGGAGACGTCTATGCCTCATGCCCATTCCGCCGGACTCGTGTTACTAGGTGACAGAATGCAAATGATGGACAGGTTTGAATTTTGCTAGCATTATGATTCCTGCTGAATGGGTCTACATTAAATTAGGAATCTGGATAATTTAGTTTTTGCGCCCATTTTGTTCCTACTACCTTAAGGATCTAATATGTCCAGCGCCTTCTCATTTGTCCTTAATTTTGTGTCATTATTTTCCGTCGAGGCTAGCGTTGAGGACGCTTGCTTGCGTGTTTATCTAGCTTGCTCATATGTAAGGGATACGCTAGTTATGTATTCTCCTAGTTATGCTGTGCGTTGCGGTGTGTGTTCTGTTGGCGGCACTGTTTCTTTGTTGTCGTGCCTACCTTTTTCGGCCCAGTGATGGCGGTCCTTCTTGACTTTCCGCCTGTCGCCTCCTCCTAACTTTCATGTTGGCTGTTTCAGCGTTAGAGTTAGGGGTTAGGGCTAGGGGTTCGACTTTGGGGTTAGGGTTGGGGTTAGGGTTAGGGTTAGGGGTTAGGGCTAGGTGTTAGAGCTTGCGGTTACGGTTAGGGGTTAGAGTTAGGGGTTAGGGTTGGGGGTTAGTTTAACTATTTCTCAACCACTCAAAGTGCAACCGCGCATTCCCAATAGCTTTTTTGTGACCTTATCGCTTCTGCGTTCCCCAGCCCCATCTGCAAGAACCCCTATTACCACTGGTCTCGTATTACGGGTGGCTGGGGTTTGTTTACCTCAGGTGCGGCTACATAACCACATCTGACCAAATTCAGCGCAAGCCCACCTGTAGTCGTATGGATGACACGCGGGCTCTTTCAAAGAAATGCCCCTGTTTAAACGGGTTCGTAGGTTTTCCGTATAAGGAACAGACTCAAAAAGGGTTTTCCTGCGGCCGTTTTGTGGGAAATTATGTCTATTATCAAACTGTCTCAGGAAAAAGTACGGCAACGATAGGGTATAGGACCCACAACTAAGCTCAGCTAGCCTGTAGACCGTGTCATACGTTGAACGGTTGTAGAGGTGGGAAAACACACAGGACAGAGAGCAAGAAGACACAGAAAATAGATAAATTTCTGCCGAAAGTCTTCCCGTAAGCTGTCATTTGGCAAAGAAGGTGAGTGCGGTGATTAAAACGATAACAAAAAACGATTTTCAAAAAATAGCGGGCCTTGAACAAAGCGCCACTGGTAAGTTTACAGTTAGTCAGGAAGGAAAGGAAATTTCAGTCAATGGGAACGGTAAATAACAAGTGATGATAAAGATCATGCCGAATTTTAGGGTATATACTTGTGGTGGCCATCTACTTGTGGTTCCTTACCAAACTTGCATCTTGATTTAAAAACTGACAATTTAACTGGTCTCTGAGCGGTCGCCATGAGATATCTGCTAGCAGTTCATCTGTTAAGCACAGCGTTGAGATTTGGTACAGAGTTACTGCATTCATCCTGTGCAAGGCTTTCAGGACAGGCTATTTGTAGACCTGGTCCAAATTTCGCTTTAACCATTAGACTGACAGACAACCACAGCTATATCATATTTCGACTTTTGCAGTGTCATTCAATCACAGGCTTTATAT